CAGGAACAAAAGTCATTTTTCAGAAATAACAAAGTCTGTTAGTTTCTTTTGACATAACGATGAAAGTTGGCTAGAAAATGCTATGTTTTGCCACTGTCTCATAAACATGCAGTCTGTGAGTGAAGCACTGGGATGTCGTTCCAAGTAGTGTAAAGTGAGGTCAAGGGCCACTGCTACATCTGCGTGAGACAAAAGTTGGTCAGCAGTACCACCGGGCTCATCATCATTCTCTGCTTTACTGCTTGCTTCTGCATTATTTCTGTGACCAGAGGGTTGTCACCAGACCAGTGATACCTATGTCAGGACTGACACCACTGTATCCTTTACGGCAGATACATAAACCTTGTTGGCTGCTGTTCTGATTTTTGCGCGAGTGGTTGCGTATGTAGACACTAGGGGTCTGGATGGAGATGGCCTGAGAGACAATGCAGCCGAAAGAGGTGCACACTACAACTTAATTATATAGGAAAAATACCCATTTATTTTTGTAAATAATTTACATGTATACATAGGATAACAGAGAGTTCCATTATAGCTTTCAAATAGTGGCTGAAATTGGATAAAGCTATATAGCATAACATAATTGAGTACTGAAGTTAATAGGTTCCTAGCTGAGAGAGAGAGCTTACATTATTATGCACAATGTGAAATACCTTGATTGGTAGGTTGATGAAGGGGTGAAGAGGTTTCTGCTGGATTGGGTAATACTCCCAGATGGTGCAGTTTTTGGTCGAATGTCTGGTAAATAAAAACAGCTATGGTCCAGCAATGGCGATGGTTGAAGGGATTGATGGTGGAGCATGGCTGGAATACACTTTCACAAGGATATGGATAGGCAAACTCACTCATCAATTTCAATGTTTGTCTTTTTATTTGGGGGTCCTCTTCCTTGATTTTGATGCCCCTTTTAGGTAACGTTAAAGTTTTGACCAATAGATAAATTTCAGATGAAAGTTCCCGGTGACATATACATTTGGAAGATGTGTCACCTTTGGAAAGGAAGTAAATCTGGGAAAAGATGAGATCACATCCTTCCATTTTTTTTACTATGTTGGGAAAATTTTTCTTTATAGAATATGTGAATTTAAGCATTAATTAATTTGATACATTTTGTTGTGGTTAATTAAAATTTCCATCTCATCCGGTCTCTCACATTTCAATTATTCGGCTAATCCGAACAGGGCTCGGTCCCAATTAGTTCGGACTAGCAGGACTCTATTGTATTTGTTTTCAAATACAGCACTAGTTAAGCCAATTTCTTAGACATATATATTTTGAATTTTATTAACTTATGCTACAAAAGTTTTTGTTTTATAGATATCTGCTTTAAATTTGAACATTAAAATATTAAAAAAAAAAGCATAATTGTTACTTTGATGTCTAATTAATATTTTATTTTAAAATTTTATGCATCACAGCACTTTATCTCACTAAATTATTTAATAATTCTTTTGTTAAAAATTACATAAACTATTGTTTTATCTCAATTTTTCATTCATGAGTTTTAAGTACATTAGTTTATTTTTAAAGAGCAATTGAGTTCAAGTTTATTATTTTTTTTATCAGAAGTAGGCTATTATTTCAGGGTATTCCACTCAAAAGTACCCAATTTTAATTCATCCTTTCTTGATGTTGTCACTGGAACTGCTGGAATGCACAGAGATGTGATTTTTTCTCTCATGTAAAATCTTTGCTGAACTTTTATATCTTTAGCAATTAATTTTTTATAGCCAAATTAAATTGAGTACTTTTGAATGGAACACTGTATTAAAAAGAACTTCAAATTGGAATAAAGATTACCATATTTATTAGGGTATAAGACAATCTCACATATAGGAAGAGGTGTGACTTTAGAGATCAAAATAAAGAAAATTAGATTTATTAATACAATTATCATTTTATTTTGTTTAATCACAAAATATTATCAAACACACATATTAAGGCAAACAACCATGTTTGCCTTAATACGTGATGAATGGAAAACAAAACCAAAACATTATAGTGCACATGACCAGAAAAAGTTTATTTTTAATGATTCAGAATGTGCTAATATTCATTAAAAATAACAATTTAACTAATATAAAATAACTACACTTATAATCATTGCTAAGTGACCTATCTGTATTTCATTAATGTTTTATAAATAATGAGAAACTATTTTCTGTGAATGAATGAGATGCAATGAGTTTTTAATTGATGGATATAGAATTAAAGGGGCATGTGTCTTAATTTGTTTACAGTAGGTGACAACTTATGATAAATAGACTGTAGACCTATAATGACAGAATGAAGTATACACGGTTCACAGAAATTATTACAAAAATGCAAAGAATCCTTTGTTCATGCATATAGGACGACCTAGGTTTTTGAAGCAGTGAAAAATGAATAAAAACCTTGTCTTATATGTGAGTAAATACAGTAAATTAAATCTAAATTAATTAGTTCAGATTATCAATTAATTATAAATAATGGAAAATAAAAAAAAACTATAGATAAATGCATATATCTAAAAATTTTGTTTCTATGTTCTACACATATATTTATGTTAAAATGTGTAGTATTTATTAATTTTACAAATTTATCGTGTTTTTTAAAAATAATATTTTTACTGCTGGATAATTTAGCAGAAAAAATACACACATCTGATTCAGATTAAGTATAGTTTAGATTAACAAGAATATAGTGCATATACAGTTTAAATATTTTGAAAAATCCACATTCTATTAATTAAATGACAAAACTACTAATTAATTTTTTTTTTATAAAGAAACCTACGATTTTGATCTTGATCCATGAAGAAGTGCATCATATTTTTCGTATAAAGAAACAGTAGCTTTGTCTTCTTCATCAGGATTGCGAGTTGTTAAGAAGTCGGCAGTTGAATTTATGGGCAAAGCTAAAATAGTTTAAATATATCACTAACTGAAATTAATTCAAATCTATAAAAAAAAGTTAAGTATTAGTTCTTTTATTAGTTAATATGATTTAATATGACCTTATTAATATCATAATTATTTTTTAAAATTATTACATTTAAAAATATAAATACAATAAATGCTATATTGTGATTGTCCCACAAATTAAAATTCATAAAATTATGCATTAAAATTTTTAGACAAGACACAGTCGAACCTCAGTTTTTGAGCAATTCACTTTTCAAACAAATTAGTTCACAAACAAAATTTCAAGCTCATAATTGCACCAGTTGCCATATGATAACTTGGTTATTGAACAAGCTACTCAGCAACAGCCAGCCACAGATTAGAGAGACAGAGATGGTCAACTTCCTATACTTCCTATATTAAAGAAAGTTGACAGCCTGACCAATCAATGACAGGACTACCAATTCAGAAATTAGTGACACCAAAACAGTCTTGTATCTTTAGATATCACAACATGAATCATTGATAATGTTACTATTTAAATTAGATTTCAATGCACATGCAGGAAAGAATTACTTCTGTTTTTCAATACATGCCACAGTTGAATTTAAATCAAATTAATTAATAAAAACCATGTTAATAAACATTCATATAATATAAATAGAATCCAAGAATTTGTGTTTAAAGGTGCGTAAGACAAATTAAATAATAAATTTATTATATATATTACATTGCATTTATAGGCATTTTATGCATGAAATACAGCTAAAAATATTTTAAAATGTTTTATTTTGGGGTCAGGAATGAATCAATCCATTTTATATTGTTTCTTATGGGAAAATTTGTTTCAGTTTAGAACAACCTTTAGAAATAAATTATGTTCAAAAACCAAGATTTGACTGTATTTGTTTAAATACTACATATTTATTTAAGCTTTTAAATATATTATAATACTGTGATTACATACATTATAGGCATTTTATATTGAAAAATGTTAAAGTTTTTATATTTAAGATTGCTGCATAAAAGGATGCAGCACTTTGTTTGTATTTTTAAAATTGTATGTATTTTATAACATTGGTTATTATCACAATAATTAATATTACTAATTACTAATTAGTGTTTTATAATGTACTATCATCTATTATAATTTTTATTTTTCTAAAAATTATATTAACTGATCTCTCCCCTGTAACAAGACTTGCCTTTAGTACAACAATTATTATATAATTTTATTTTTCTCATTATATTGAACAACACATACCTCTCTCATTATATTGAATGTTCCATTCAATTATAAAGGGAATACATTTGTTATGATCTAGAACCATGTGGCCAAACTATGACTCATGAACTGCATGCAGCTCTTTTAAACCCTTATTGCAGCTCCCATCTGTTTATACAATTTATTTTTATAAACTTGATACTACTTACAGATATGTAATAGTTTCGTATGTAAGTTTTCTGGCTATTATATAGTGTGATATACACATAGATTGTAAATATAACTTGAACTTAATCACAAACAGACAGCTGAAACCTAAGAGTACATTTATAAAGTAACATTTACTATAGAACAGTGATAAATATAGTATTTTAGTAATATATGGTTCCTGTCACAAGTTTGGTCACTCCTGATCTGAAATTTTTGTCTCAAATGTTATTTCATATGGTAATTCAGTATTATGTTAAAGTAACAGATAAACTTTTGAGATAAAGTAAATTTTAAAATAACATTAATGTAAACTTTATTACAATAGCAATCTACATAATTATCAACAATGTTCTATAATACAGTCCTTCCTTTTCTTTTATGCTGATCTCTCTTCCCTTCTCAAAACATAAGAAAAGTATACAATAAGCTAAATATTTTTTTATATAAACCATAGAAATAAAAATCAAAATGTAATTACAAAATAATAAAAATTAATACCATACTAAACAGAATATTTTAAATTCATATCGATTCCAAATTAATTCAAAACTTTTAAAAATAATATCCTACTACACTAAAAACTGTTTCCTTTAATAATGTCAACATTTAATGTAGATTAAAAATAAGATAAATAGATGGATAAGGATATAAAAATACTAGTCTGAACTCTGACAGGTTAAGATTCAAGCCTTGAATCTTGACCTGTCAGAGCTGCATACTGATATTTTTATATAGAATCAGAATGGTTTGGCCTGGATATGTCAGATCCTATCCCTTGTCATGTGGTCATTTTTAGCTAAACTCACAATTAAGAAGAAAATAACTATTCTTAATGCCAACATGAAAATAATTTTAAAAAAAACAAAGAAATTGAGTTCTATTCAAGACATTTTTATGCATTCATTATTATATTCATAAATCTATCAGATTTAAATGTCTTTCTGTATTTTTAATACAAAATAACATGAAATTTAGCATAATAAATTTGAATTTTTAAATTAATTTTTATTTCATTTCATTAATTAATTATAACATCTAATCACAGTACAATAAAAATATTCATTTTGCTAAATTTTCAAAATACTTAAAGTTAAAAGTAACAAACAATAATATTCTCTTAAATGTACTTACGTTCACCATCCATTTCACCAGGAGCTCTGTATCTATGCATTCTTACAACATGATCAGCTATTTCACGATCCTTCTCTGGATCCATCTAACAAACAGAATTTTTTACTTTAAAAGTAATATTAATTAAATGTATTATTATTAAATACTTAATTTTATTTTATTTATTAAAAACCTTGTAAATTCAAAAACTATTTTTAATAACTTAATGTTTGTTCTTATTTCATTTCATAAACAGTAGCATATTTATAACTGTCATGAAATAGTCAACTCCATTTTCATTGTATGAAGCAAATGTGAATATAATAAAGCTTAAAAACTTTAAGGAGTCCATTTACAGGGTGTACATAAAGTAACTTGACCGATTAATGGTGATCTAGAGAGTGCAGAAAGCAAGAAATCCATTGAAACTTTTGTTGGATAAGTACAGGGTGACATGTTCTCACAATACTTGAAAATAGAAGTAGAACACATGTCACACATAATCACAACTCAAAAATTTCCAATACAGACATCGTGAATAAATATTTAAACTAACCTTGTCTAGAATAATGAAAAGCAGATCAAATCTTGATAAAAGTGAATCTTGAAGTCCAATATTTTCCATAGGTGTTTTGTATTGATCATACTACAAATAATAAAAGAATTTTAAATTAAATTCTTCTATATTTCAAATAAAACAGATGTAAGATAGGCCTAATATATAATATATAATATATAATTCCATAAATATGAGACATAAAATAATGATAATATAATATAATGTAATTTAATATTACATTGTTGAAATAACTTTCAACAATGTAATTTAATATTACCATAATATTTGTTTATTGTAAGTGCACTACTTGATCTAAAAAAACAAAAAAAAATAAATAAATAAAATAAAATCTAAGTTTATAATAAAAATATAGCAGGTCATGAGACATATTAGATAGATAATGTTAATAGTTAGAAGTAGAGAGGGATAAAAACACACAAATCATAGAAAATATAAAAGAGGAAGAAAGAATAGATTAAAACATAGAAGAAAATACTTAAAAAATTCACACCCGTCTTTACAGTTAAAAGTAACCAAAAATGTTCATTTTTAATCAGTGAATTGATGGAAAGTGAGAGGAAGGTATGAATTATAGCATATAGAAAGATTTTAGACAATTTAGAACCTCCTTTTATAGTCTTAGAAAATAATAAATCTTTTGAACAGTGCACAGAGATTACTTTATTATATGAAAATAAATAGAATTCTCCATCATAAACAAGAAAAAAATACAAACAGAATGGTTAAATATTAAAAACATTTTATATATATCCTATAGATTTGTTATTATAATATGTTTTATATTAACTGCAAAAAATAATTTGTATTTTTTCAATTTTAAGATCAGATGATATTTATCAATTAAAATCAATATATAACATCATCTGAATCAAATACAATAAACTCTTGATGTAGTGACCATCCAATATAGTAAAGAATTTTGTTGATTCTTTATATTCTTTATGTGTATAATGATTAATAAATGATTTAATCAGTTCTCCAGGAGTTCCCTATATTGAGAATCTATTGTATAAATTACTAAATTTTGATTAAGATTTTAGTAATAAAGAAAAAATAAGATCAAGAAAATTAAAAAATAATATGCAAAACTTTTTGTCTTATAGATACTGCTAAGTAAATTAATAATTTTAAAATATAACAAGTAAAATTCTTTTATATAATTTACCTTTCCATAAACAGGATTTGCAGCAGCAAGTACACTACATCGAGCATTTAATTTAGCATGTATACCAGCTTTAGCTATCGTAACTCGTCCTTGTTCCATAACTTCATGGATTGCAGTACGATCAATATCAGACATTTTATCAAATTCATCAATACATACAACTCCTCTATCAGCAAGAACCATAGCACCAGCTTCTAATCTACGATCACCTAAAAATATATTCAAGTACATTTTTATACCAATAAATAAATAAATAAAATAAAACAACAAACTTCTGTTTGCAAGACAAAGTACATTAGTTATATTTGTAAATTAATATAACTTATACATGCTCAAAAAATTTAAAGTAAATTCTCAAAATAAAATACAACATTATTTCTTCAACAAAATGAACAAAAATATTTTAAAAGCAGAGCAAAAATATTAATATAAAAAAATCAATCTTGGGTATCTGTGATAAGGAGTTTTTTCACTTTTGGAAGAGCTGACTTCTAGAAAAGTTATAAAATACTTTTCTAGAAGACAACCTGAAAGTAAAGGATTTATTTTATCTTCACTAGAATTAAACACAGCAATAAGTGTGATAAATTGATGTTCAGATAGTCTTATGAATAGATTCTTAAAATAATTTAAATCTGTAAGAAATATAAATTTAAATAAAACATCCAAAGAAATATAAATCTGATACACTTACAAGTCTAAAAAACTAAAATTTTAAGACTGTTGACAAAAAACTCTGCAAAGGAATCAGAGAATCACATCTAATATATCTGTTCTCAAGTTTTTGAATCATTTTATTGGTTAATATTATTGTTTTTTAAGAAAAATACTTCCTGCATTGTTGTAAATTATTCATATGACAACTAGTCTTTCTTAATTATAAAGTAATTTGCCTAGAAATCGGTGGTTAGACTGACATTGCTTGATAAATTTATACCCAATAAATTACTTGATAATCTGATCCATTTAGCTTTAATTAAAAATTGAGTTATGGATTGAATGACTAGTCTCTCTATTGGCAGATTATGACAATCTGTAAATGTAACTCCAAGGCAACTTACTAGTAAGCTATAGAATCTGAACTAATAAAAAAATGATACTGAGAAAAGTAATAATTTTATGATTTTGAAGAAAGCTGTAAAAACTATTAAAATGAGATAAGTTAATCATATCATATTATCCATACACAGGGGGTCATGAATATAATATGTAAGACTAAGAATGTAAGAATGTAATATGTAGTTCAAAATGTATATTAAAATTTTTCAGCAATAAAACACAGACAAAACTACTGGATTCATGTCATAATTAAAATTTTATCATCACTGAATTAAAATATGCCTTATATATCACATGAAACAGCTCATAAATTCATAGATCTCTATTTGCACGTTCCCTTGGTAGTTATCAACTGATTGCAACTAACAGATATTGCACTACTAGTTTATGATATCAAAGTTATGTATAATGAGAGATAATATATGGATCACAAGGAAAAACTTGGCAGGCCAAACCTGTCAGCTGACTATCACTGATTTAAAATAACAAGTGCTTGGTGATCATGTAAAATTCATGTAATCAGATATCATTTTTTCATGCTTACAGCAGTTTACTTTTTAGTGTTTTTAGTCTTAACTTTTAAGTAAATCATTGTTACACTAAAAAATGTAACTGAATTTGGTTTGTATTGTATATATACAGTCGAACTTAGTTATAACAAACACAGATGTAATAAGTTCATGGTTATAATGAGCAAAATGCCAAAACAATTTTAATTTACAGGTATTTCTATTAGTGTTGTAACAAATAGTATATTCGGCCTCAGGCCGAATACCGAATATTCGGCTAAGAGCGTGGCCGAATAGCTGAATATTCGACCAAACTATTCGGCTCGATTAACGCACGTACGAAAATTGGCGCGCAAACCACATTATGGCAAGGATCCTGCTCTCTATTGGCCCGCTGTCACTATGCTTCGCCAATCGCGTTAATTCTTGGCAGTTGTAGCGGACAGACAAGAGTGTCATGGAAGTATGTGATAAATGATGATATCAAATGTGGATAACAATGAAATGACCTACACGTGTAAATAACGGAAAAAGAACAGAGAAGGACCGCGAAGTGAAAATGTGAAAATAAATATGAAATTGAGTTGATAACATAATCGAACAAGTCGAGGCAGCTTATTGGCACGAAATTCGCGGCCGTCAATGCCAAACAATTGTTGTCATAGACTTCGGAAAGCTAAATGCTTGTAATGAAAGTCACTTAGCGTGCACGGGCGAAAGCCTGGGGCCGTTCGGGCTATCAAGCTGTCTCGAATCTGTGAAATCATAACTGTGACTTATATCGACGTCCTATCTGTCTCTTTTCTCCGTTATCACCAGGCTGAGTCACGTAATTGTAAAATGGGAACTCTACGACGGAAAAGTGACGAATCGAAAGTATCGTGAGCGCGTATTATGATGTATGCACAGGCATACATGGATTAGAGCGATAGAGGAAAGAGAAAGGGAAGAGCAAAGACGAGCGCTTAAAAAGAAGGATAGGCAGGGTCAGACCCTCAGATGTGCGAGGATTCTCCAACGATAGACGTGTACGTGTGCTGATCTTTGTAATTATAAATTGTGAATACATGTGACTAATATTATTTTCTTTTTTATTTTGTGCATGTTACAAGTTATAAATAAATATAAACAAACAACACTAACTCGATAACATTAAATCTAAATACCAAAATGATTAATTTACTGTGTTTTTGTTATTTATTACTCCTGTTTTTAGGTATTCAATATTCGGCCGAATAGTGATTAAATATTCGGTATTTGGCCGAATAGTGAAAAATAGGCTGAATAGGCTGAATACCGAATAGTAACCGAATATTCGTTACATCACTAATTTCTATACATTTTCTCATGGTTATAACAAGCATGCTTCACAGAAATACCAAGAAAATTTTTGGTAGCTATGCAAACATGTGAACATTCTTAATTGTTCAAGTAGTAGGAAATGCAGTACAGAATTCTTGGAATAGATAAAATTGAAAGGATTACTTAGTTTTATGACCTGCATTGATTACAGGCCTATTTATCACTTAACATTCTTTTTGGAGACTGTCCTCCTCTTTCTTGACTAGGTTCTGGCCGATTCTGCCAATTTACCTAATCATCACTATGATTGTAAAACTACTGTATGCTCTAGTTAGAAATGAACCCTTACATGAGAAGGATATCAGTGAAAAAAAGAAAATGTCTCTTGATTTACAAAATAGTAGAAATTATTCACAAGTCAGAACATGATACTAAAATTGTCAAAGCGTGTAGAAAGTTTCCTTCATCATCTTCAATAGTATCGACATTATTGAAAAATAAAGCAATCGTCAATTTTAAGATTTTGTAAATAAAAAGATTAACTAAAATTGAACATATTATTAATTAATATTATCTTAAATTATGCAAAACTAAATTGTTTAATAATTATTATATTGTAGCTTATATAACTATTAACAAAAATACAGTATAATGTAAATACATAAATATATATATGTTACAGTCAAAACCCGTTTTTAGTTAGAACGCGTTTTAACTAGTTGAAACTAGTTTATACTGAATGTCTTTGTTAAGACCCGTTTTGTCTAGTTAAAACTAGTTTTAACTCAATGTCTTTGTTAAAACCCGTT